ATTCCCATACTCCCCCTCATAATAAGTATTCAACGAGCAATCCCCCACATCTTCTGTCGCAGTTGGAGCGAGGTGTGTCACCTGCCTAGCTCCTGATGGCCCCAGAGGCAGCCAGGTTTGAAGATGGCCCCTCAGCAACCCTCATGCCATTGTGCAGTCCCCTCGGACAGCAAAGGCAACTGCTCTGTGGAACTAACCACACACTGGGAAATGAGGGGTAGGACTCCGTCCTAACAGAGGCTGTAGCTTCTGTTCTTGCATGGATCACCCACTCTGCAGCAGCCAACAGCAGGTCAGGACACTTCCACGGTGGCAGAGGACTGAGGCTGTCTTGGGGCTGACCCCCCTCGGGACAGTGGTAGTCCCGGCTGACATGTGGGTGTCAGTTGAACCAGCCGGCTAAGTTGTACAGAATTCCTGATCCTCACAGCTGTTGATTGCTTTTGGTGCTAAGTCTTGGAGTTTTTTGTGATATACCAATAGAAAATGAGTGAGACCATAGTTTTATGGACCTCTTTCATGTTAAACTAGGACAAAGCCATTATTTCACAATGATAGCCACAGAATTTTGCAAAGGGGCCATACTCAGATTTACATCAGATTGGGAATGTTCTATTTTTGGTAAGGAAACTGTAACTCCTTGTATCCACCTTTTGCCCAGGTTCTGTGGCGTCCTCTTGTCACTGCCATCATGCGCCCCATTCCCCATCATTCTTATCTCCACTATCCCGTTCTTCTGGCTTTCTGCCTCTGCTGATTTATGACTTCCTGTTTTACAATCGGAGTTATCTTCAGAGCTCTGTCCTTGAATTTACTTTTTAAAAAATCTGGTTGAAAAACTGGCAGCACAAACGTGTCACTCACAAATGAGGTAAATGGAGAGGCCAGGGAGGTGGAGCTGATTTTGCCAGCAAGAGGACGGCAAGGAATTCAAGTGTCAGCCAAACTACAGCAGCGGGAGCGCTGGGACGCCCAGATGCGTGGGGGGCTTGTTTTCAGCAAGGCTGATTCCCGGAGGCCGTTAGAGTAGGTGAACTCAAACAGAGCAGACAGCCATTCTCGGACTAAAATCTAAGGACATTTAAAAAATCATTACTGGGGCCAGCATGTGGTGCAGCAAACTAATTATCCACCAGCAGCACCGGCACCCATATGGGCATGGGTTCACATCCCGGCTGTTCTGTTTATGGCCTAAGGAAATCAGCAGAGCATGGTCAAGTCCTTGGCCCTGGCCCCCTGCCCCTCTGTGGAGGACCCTGTGGAAGATGCTCCTGGCTCCCAGCTGTGGGTAACCTCAGCTCCGGCAATTGAGGCCACTTGGAGAACAAACCAACAAATGAAAGACTCTTCTCTGTCTCTTTCTCTGTGTAAAATCTGCCATTCAATCAAAAAATAAAATATTTAAAAAAAAAGCCAGTAAAATAGCATTTATTTATTTGAATGGCAGAAAGAGAAAGAAGAGAGGAAGGAGAGAGCTCTCCCTTGCTCACTCCTCAGAATGTCCACACAGCCAGAGCAGGCCGAACCAAAGCTGGGGACACTGAGCTGTCTCCGATGTGGTGATGGAACCCAATTATCTGCGCCATCACCACTGCCCCTGGGTCTGTCCTGGCTGGAAGCAGCAGTCAGGACCCACTTTCTGCACCCATCGCCGAGACCCAGAAGAAACTCTGGGCTCCTGGCGTCTGCATGGCCTAGCCTGGGCCTTCGTGGACATGTGGGGAGTGAACCAGGGGATGGAAGATTTCTCCCTTTGTCTCTCTCACTTCTGTAACATTTTCAAATTAATAAATCTTTTTTTTTATGATATTTGTTCTAACTGGGACAATCAAATGACTAGAAACATGAGTAACAGTCTGAGTATAGCAATCATAAAAAGAACTCAGTATATAATCAAGTTAAATATTTTGCAATAAACTTCATATACTTAATGACATATAATTGTTTCTAAACTGTATACTCAGGGAAAAATTATCAGTCAGTTCCATAAATTATACCTACTGTTTCCAGAGAGTCAAACTCAATTTTTACAACTTTTCTTAATGCAAGGTAAGCTTTTCCTTTAGTCCATGTATCTGAACACTACGTACATTATAATCCTGTCGCTTCTTTCTGAATTACAGGTTTTATGATTGTTCCAACTGGCAGTTGACTTTCCACCTCCTGACCTCCTATGTCATTTTGCTTTATTGCAGTGAAATTTATATGCAGCTGAAATGTACAAATCCTAACAGCCAGTTTCTCTAAGTGTGTACATTCACATAACCATCTTGGCAATCAAGTTAGAAATGTTATCCTTCCAGAAAGCTCCCTGCAACATCAATTTGCCTCTCCACGAGCAACCAGTGTTCAGATTTCTACAATCATAGATTACCTTTCTTTGCTTTTGAATTTCTCAAAAACGGAATTCAACATTTTTTCTATGACTTCATGCATTCTATACACTGGTTCTGAGCTTATGATGGCTCATGGTTTTTTTTTAACTGAGTACTATTATACTGCCATGTAACCTGTAAGAGAAATTTTATGGGCTTTGTCTTTCCCCTTGGATTACAGGGCCTAATAGAGTGCCTTCCTACGGCAGGTGCTCAGTAAGTAGTGAGAAACATTGCAAATGCTTCCTTCTGGTCACAAACAGAAACACACACATCTAAGACTCATTATTCTAAGGCAGCACCTGGGTCTGCATTCTAAAATAAGCTTTTTCTGAATGGTCTCCTAATTTGGTCTCCTGAATGGTTCAACACAAACTTCACAGGTCTTTCCGCCAAGAGGATGTTATCAAAACAGCTCTCTCTGCTCCACTCTGTGAGGAACACCACTAACAAGGCCAGTAACTGAGTGATAAGGCTGAGCCGTCACTGGTCAAAGAATCTCACACGTATGAACACATTTAATCCTGACCATTTATGATGGGAGTGACTCGCCCCACATAGGTAGAAAATGGGGAGCTTAGCCGGGATCCATCTTCAGGACTCTAGCTCCAGAGCTTGGGCTCCAAGCCCCTGATTTCCTGCACCGTGGCAGCTCATAGTCTACCACAGAAATGTGGCTAGTGGTAGGGGGCAAAAAGCAACGCCACCACACAGCTAACACAATTGGGCTCAGAAATCACGACTCCCAAGGGTGGCACGGAATCTACACAGCACCAGGCTATCTCCACCCTCCTCCTCTCCCCAGCATGTGGAGGGTCTCCCCTCAAGTTCCCTTACCTAAGGAAAGCTCCCCCAGAGGAAACACGACTGCCTTGGGTTTCCCTCCCTATAATGACCTCACTAAACTGCGTAAATTAACTCTCAAGAAAGCAGACTGGAGACACCACACCCAAAATCCAGAACTTTGTCCCAGGCTGTTGTCTGCTTCTGGGGCTCATTCGTCACCTATAAAATTCATTTGCTATTTCCCTAAAACTGGATCCATCCCACACCAGCCCATCCCCTATGAAGGGGTATATAAGCTTCCACACCTCATGGATTACCGGGTACTCACTCGCTGGGGATGTCCCCCCCACATAATAAATTCACATCCCTTTCCTGCAGACCTGTCAGCTGTCAGTTTGCTTCCTTCAGAAGGGGGAGATGGTGAAGGGCAAGGAAGAAGCATTTAAGGCTTCTGGCAAATAGGATCTGAAGAGCTCACCTTTTTCATCTCAGGAGAGGCAAAACCAGTCCCCCCTCAACACCCCAAGGCTCTCCCATCCTCTGACCTTTTCCGACACTAGCTCCACTCCCCTGGGAGTTTGTCCTGGACCAACGCCGCACCTTGTGCAAACCCAGCCTCCTTAAAGCACAGGTGGACACCAGCCAGCTGTCAGAGAAGTGCCCGAGCAGGGTGCACCTGCAGCTGAGAGCCAACAGCACTGGACCCACTGAGTTCCTCAAGCCACCCTGCACAGGTTACCTCAACCCTCAGCTCCCAACTCCAACAGAAAGCCAAGAGGTTTCGTAAGATCTTCTGTAAGATCATAACGAATTCTGTAAGACCACTCCACATCCATCTGAAACAAAAGCTGCCAGATTAGACCTCTCAACAACCCCTCTTTCACAGAATTCCCTTGAAGAATCCAAAATGACTCCCTGAGGCCTCTTACATAACATTTACTTCTCCTCTAAAAGCTTTTCAAGACATAAAAGCCTCCCTTGCCTACCTACCCTTCCTTCTAGCTTGTATCCCAGGGCTCAGTTTCATTCGGGCTGCTGTCCCCCACCACCTCCTTTTCACACAATTCTAACCCTTTGAGTTTTTGTTCACCACCTCCCTCCACAGTTCGAGACAGAAACACTAAGTTCTCCTTCTTAGGGTGGAATCCAAGTTCCTCGATGAGGTCAGGAGTCTTTTCCAAGGACGCGTTTCCTGGTTCCTGGTATTTGTCTTTTTTCTTCAATCAAAGCAAATGAACTCAATCTTTCCAGGATGCAAGACACAGCGAGCGAGTGTTACAGCTCCTGGGACACCACCGCTTGCTAACCCTCGCCCTCCAATATCGGTCCTTGGACACTCCGCTTTAGGCAAAAAACCACGCACCAGCAGGCTCCGAGCAGCCCTCCGTAAATTCTCCAGCACGGTGTGGGCCCCTGGGCAGGTGCTCCCAGGAATATGCTCTCTCAGGGGCCCGCAGATGAGCCGCTAGCGAACCACGGCGCTGCCAGCGGGGTACCAGGTAAATGAGGTCATCCAGGTGGCGCAGGGCCGGCCCACGCGCTGCCCGGGCCCCCGGGCACCTCCTCCGGCAGGGCGTCTCCCCAGCCCAGCTTCAGCTGCTCTCGAGCTTCAGGGTCCCCCGACTTCTAGACCGAGGCGGCTGCCAGGACCCCAGAGCGGACCCTCCCACCTGCCTGCCCCTCTGACGCTGCGCTCACCCACCCTCCACCACCCTGACAGGTCCCGCGCCTCCCCGCAGCTCGCAGGCTGGGACCTGCCGTCTGCGCGCGCGGCCAGAAGGCGACGGGGGCGCGGACCAAGCCCGAAAGATGCCGTGCGCCGTGCCGAGCGGCACTCACCTGGTGCCAGACACTCAGAGCGGGGATGCCCAGGGCGAGACGGCGACCGAGTGCGGGGCTGTGGCCGGTCCGTGGCGGCGCCGGCACTTCCTGCCTGGAGAGGCGGAGCGCAGGGCGCACCGGAAGGCGCGGCCGATCCACTCGCAACGGGGGTGCGGCTGGCGTTCTGGCCCGCGACCGGGCGGATTCCGGGGGTCGGAGCAGCGGGGCTCCGTGGGCCTCCCGCGCACAGCCTAGACCCTGGTGGTCTCCTCCAGCCCCGTTCCGATCGAGGAGGCCTACGTGCCAGCGGCACGGCGTAGGGCCGCCGTCGGCCCCGTACCCCCCGAGTCCCGCGGAGGATGCGCAGCCCTTCCGCATTCCTGGGCCGCGGGGCGCGGGCCGGGCGGGGCCGCGCTGGAATTTGACCCGGGCGGGCCTGGTCGGGCCGGGCTTTAGGGGGATGTGCTAGGTGAGGGGGCGCTGAAGGGGTTCCCCCTGGAGCCTGAAGAGCCCCACCCAGGATTGACGGATTTAGCACATCTTTAAGTACTCTGGGCCTGGTTACATCTGAGTTTCGGGTAGACAAGTACCGTTTTCAGAAGTGTACCGCAGCTCCGGAAACCATCTCCCTCTTTTTTAAAAAAAGTCTTAAATAAATTATCAGTGCTGTAACTCACTTTCGCCTTTCAGGCACAGTTTTATTCAGACTCCCAGTTTTCCTCTAAGGTCCTATAGGGCTGACAGAGCGACCCGCATAGATCCCTGCGCACGCTGATACCGCGCTAGGGCACGGCCAAGTGGAACACACAGCTACATCCTGGGCAAGTTGTGCATGTTAGTAGCTATAATCTTCAGGATGATTCCCCCTCGCTTCACAACGGTCTAGGTGAATTAGCACTTCCCAAGCAGTGTTGGATAGCTGGCCTAATGGCGGATCCTCGTGGACACTTATTCCTGCAGGCATGCTGGCTGCTGGGACCCCAGTGAATAATTCAGTCTCTTCCCTTTGGTGGTGGTGGTTATGGTGGGGGGTGTTTAGATTCTACAAATCTTCAATCCGCAATTCCTAGAAAAGCAATTTTGTCTCAGCATTCCAGAGCAGTTCTGAAATACTAACAGATGTGAACAGCCGGGTAGATCTGCGGAAACATTCTTGACCCTCAAAACTCAGAAAGTAGAAAGGATGCAGAGGCTAGTTTTTCATTTCTAGTTGGCACGCCGGTGATGTGGATGCTGTCGCCCTCTTCAAACATCACACCTGCGTCTAATTACCTCCCCTTTAGCGGCGATGAAGGTAGGAGCTTCTTAATCACAGAGCTCTTCCAAGTATGGTCTAACCCACCGGCATTAATCCTAACCTTGGCCCCCTTAGGATCATGGCTGGAGTCACTCTCGACTGTAAAATACTCAAACTTCAGAGAAAAATAAAATGCTTATTTTGGTGCAAAATACTTTGGAAATCCCTGTTTTTTTTCATAATAAAAACTTTGGCAAACTTTCTAAAGACTATGTACATTATAGGTCTTCAAAAAACTCCTGAAAGTTTGTATTATGAAAAAAAAAAACGGGTTCCAAACATTTTTTTGCACCAAAATAAACTTTTAATTCCACTTTTCGTTAACTTTTTGAAGTACCCCAGTACCTTGACTCTGATCTCTGGGCTTCTAGAAATACAAAAGGCAGTGACCACTTTGTAGCTATTTAAAAAGTGCAGTTACAGGCCTGGTGCGCTGGCCTGGCAGCTAAAGTCCTCCTCTTGAACGCTCCAGGATCCCATATGGGCGCCGGTTCTAATCCCAGCAGCTCCACTTCCTATACAGCTCCCTGTTTGTAGCCTGGGAAAGCAGTCGAGGATGGCCCAGATCACCCATGCGTGAGAGCCCAGGAAAGAAGTTCCTGGCTCCTGGCTTCGGATCGTTGTGGCCACTTGGGAGTGAACCATCGGACGGAAGCTCTTCCTCTCTGTGTATCTGCCTTTCCAATAAAAATAAATAAATCTTTAAAAAGTAAACAACTCTTAAAAAAAAAGTGCAGTTCCTCAGCTGTGTCAGATTTTTTAAAAAGAACACTTATTTAGAAAGTCAGCATTAGAGAGAAGAGAGACATCCATCCACTGGTTCACTCTCCAAATGGACACATCCTGGTCGGCCATGTGGGCACAGGAGTCATTCTCTACTGCTTTCCCAGGGGAAAGGAGAAACAGAGAGCTGGATTAGAAATGGAGCAGCCAGGACTTGAACCAACGCCAGTGTGTAGGCAGAGACTTCCTCTATACCACCACGCAGCCCCACAGATACATCTGACAAGTGGCTTATCTCATTACTAGACACTACAAGAGCCTTCCATCATCACAAAAAAAGTCCTACTGCAGAGTGTGGTTCTAAAGAACTAATTTTAAGGTATACTGTTTTCTCTATACTCAAAAACTATGAAAAAATAGGTATCCTAAATGAAAATACTATGGCATATCCATATCAAAGATAATTGTCACTAAAAGGAATGGTTCAAAAACAAATACACTCAAACCAAAAGCAGCTATGCTTTGGCATAAGAGATATTTTAAAAAGTTATACATTCATTACAAGTATACAATGTAGGTGGATAAACACTGGGAGAAACGACAGGACTCCTATCATTCGAGCAGGCAGAGATATCTAAAAATAAAATGGTTCAGGTGCCAGCTGAAAAAGCAAATGAACATGGGACAAACAGAATTTTGTTCAACATGAGCTAAGCTTCAATAATCCCTTTAAGAGCAGGAGAGATAAAAACCAGGTTTTGGAATTATACACATAAGGGAGAACTAACAAGACACAAGTCTGGCACATTGGTATTATTTGCTCAGAAAATCAAAAATCAACTCTCTGAGCCTCTGTGTGATGCCAGGAAAACTGACAGGCATCTACCTAGATCCATTATAACATCTTGTTTTTGCAATTAAATTTTAGGTTGAGATAATTTACTACCCATCAACTACAAACCTTTCTCTCAACCTCAGCCTTTTATTTAATCACCTATTGCTGAACTCCTAGTTTCCACATGCCCTTCCAGAAGTATCCACCCATTTTTCTAAGGATCCCATCCCTTGGACATGACTCATTTTGTTTCATTATCCTCCAGTTATCTGTTCCCACTGTGTACACACAGGCTTTAGTCTCTACTTTGACCCTGCCCTCTCTTCAGGACTCTTTTCATTAGCCAACAGAACAGAACAGAACAGGAAGAACTACTATGTGCGCCACCGTTTAGCTATTGGCCCTACCTGCCCAAAGACAAAGTAAAGTTACAGGTGGAACTTCCTCCACCAAGTCTGGTTCCAAACCTATGCTTTTAATCACAAAGTCAGCTGGATGTATTAGTTTCTGGGGAGGTACAGCAACAGTTAGGATGCTGCCTGGACTGTGCATATCCCATACTGGAGTGTCTGGTTTTGAGTCTTAACTCTGCTCCCAATTCCAGCTTCCTACTTACATACATCCTGGGAGGTAGCAGCTGGTGGCTCAAGCAGTGAGATCAGTGCCACCCATCAGGCAGATGTGGCCTGAATTGGATCTCTGGCCCAGCCCAGGCCATGCACGATTCTGCAGGAGTGAACTGACTGACTGGAGCTTGTGTCTCTCCTCTCAAATGCAATACTCATTAAGAAATTATATTTCACCTTATAAACCAATAACATAATAATGAATAATGAGTGTGTCACGGGATAGTAAAGCAAACTCTGACAGTCCTCGTCTTCTGCCCTGGCAGCACCGAGCTGCTGCTGTGGGATTAGGTCCCTTGATCAAACAAGAGGCAGAGCCTGGAATCCAAGCAGAATGAGGCATTACACGGGGTTACCCTGCTGCTTCCAATAGCTCTGCCCAAGTGCTGAGGACCTGCCACATCTAGTGGCCTCGGACATTCTCCGATCTGTTGACAAACTCACTCTTAAAATTAACCTGATTTCACTAGGACTGTTCTTGAGGTTGTTTAACTTCCCACGCTGCTTTGTCTTCCTTCTGATCCTTGAACGTATTTAGGTTTCAGGCCCCATGCTGTCTTTCCCATTATCATTTTCCTGCTCAGGATCTGCTTTCACTCCTCTCTTACAGTCCGGTGGCGTGGAATTCCTTGATAAAAGCAGCACCCTGAGTCCAAAGCACTAAAATCCTGAGGTGGGCACACACACACTGCCACTCTGGGCTGCTTTTGCCAGAACTCTTCATCAGAACAGTTTGTTTCAAACAGGACTTTCATCACAGAAACTGGCTTTTCAATCAAGCCCACTGTTTGAGCAGATGACTTCAGCTGTGGTTGGTAATTAGCCTAGCTTAACAAAGCCTCGCTACTAAGCAGAGGATTCTATTACTGAATTAAGATTTATTTCATTTAGGGTAAACTATTCACTGTTCTTAATGAAGATGGTTCTCTGAGCAGTTACCCAAAAATAGGAGTAGAGCAGAGATAATTTCAGGAGTATGTATTTTTTTTTTCCTGAAGTAGAAACAATGTTGTTATTAATTCCTTTATACTTTTTTCATAAAGCAGAAGTATTTCAGCATGGTGGCCATAGCTTGGAAAAAATACTTAGCTTCAACACTGTGTGAAATTAAGGCCAGGAAAAAGGCAAAGAATTAAGGCAGAGTCTAATCCTGAAGGGGGCAAGGACTAGCCCCTTCATCCCTGCTCTATTTGGAGTTTCCAAATTCCAGGATGTGGCTGAGCCGTCCATCGGCCGTAGAGGCCTGCTTCCCCAAGGCACTCAGTATTTGTTGACTGAATGATGTAATGGTTTTCTCTGAGGATAATTTAGTAACTTGAAGATACTAAAATAATTGCCAATTGCTCATCTTAGTAAATTAGTTATCGCTCTTTGTGACCAACTTTTCTGTTTCATATCTTTTTGAACTCATGAGTCCTTGACAGTCCAATTGTTGAAGCCCAGAGGAAATATAACTATCTACCATTCCCAAATTAACTGCATTTCTGTAAACAGCAGAAGTTATTTTTAGGGCTGAAACAATGACCTCACTTTCCCTGGCATGTAGCTTCAGCTGTTTTGATTGTGGGTAGGTCAGGAATGTCCAAAATTCATAAATGACCTATAATGAATCTCTTTGTAAACAAGTA